AGTATGTGTCCGTTCCTTGCATCTTACTTATAGGTGGTGCGCTTGGTATGCTTCTATTACCACCTCTACTTTCTTGATCCATACCATCCTCTTTGTTAATGTCATAGTATGTGTCCGTTCTTTGCACCTTTCTTATAGGAGGTGCACTTGATATGCCTGAGAAATCCGCCGACGGGCCTATGACCGATGTCACGTCCAAACATGATATGTACGACACATCTGCCAAGTCCGCTGACTCGGTGGGAGAGACGGCGGTTGCGTCTGTAGAGATGAAGCCTGTAGGTAAGACGTAAAGACATACGACAGGGTTTTAGGGTCGCTCGACTGGCGTTGTAGGGTTTACGGTTGGAGAGACTGCGGCTGTTTCTGTGGAGATGAAGCCTGAGAGTAAGACATGAAGTCTCTCGGCAGGGATAAGGGGTTAGGGTTTTAGGTTTGGGATTTTAGGATCACTCAACTGCAGGATGTGTTCTATTTATAGGCTTTGGTGTATTAGAATAGTCGGATGGCCGCGTTGTGCCTTTCCCGTGTCTTGGGTTGCTGTGTGTATACCTTGTTATGGCTTAGGGTTGTCAGAGTTTTAGGGTTACTAGCCTGCAGTCTGTGTTCTATTATAGTCAGAGTATGGGCTGGTTCCAGAACAGTCGCATTGTCGCGTTGTGCCTTCTTTTCCCACGTCTTTTAGGGTTTAGGGTTGTTGTTGTGTGTATCTCTATATGTCACACACCACAGTGCAACCGGTGAGTAGGAGGTCAGTCACCGATATGTGCACAGAGACCGGTAGATGAACTAAGCCCTCCGAGGCTTAGTTCATCACAGTCACTCGGCAGTGCAGTGCCTTGACGCATGTCATCCTGCGCTGTGCGCAGATGTCATACAAGCATATGGGCACCTAACACAGGCATGAGGGTGAGGGACTTAGATCACTTACTGTCATTATACGATTTATGGTAGCTTTTGTTGATGTTTCAGACTTAAACCCAATTTCTGATAATATATAGCTTATAATAGCTTCTGTTAATATACAACTTATACTAGCTTCTGCCAATGTTTCGGACTCAACCCCCCAATTTCTGGTAATGTTTCTGACTTTTAAAATACTTTTTGCCAATATCAGCCAAATCGGGAATGCGTCAAAAGCTGTTCCAGCCGTCGCCTCTGAAGACGGGCATGGCACTCAAGAAACAACAGTACACTGCCATGGTACGTTGAGTGTGTGACCTTCTTATTATAGTACACTGCCATGGTACGTTGAGTGTGTGACCTTCTTATTACAGTACACTGCCATGGTACGTTGAGTGTGTGACCTTCTTATTACAGTACACTGCCATGGTACGTTGAGTGTGTGACATCCTTATTTTGACTCATTGTTTTGCAAGCGATTTATTTGTTCATGTGCATGCAGGTTGAGTGAGTGTACTTCCTATTGCGACTCGTCTTTTCTCTTCTTATGTGCAAGTGACTTCTTTGTACATGTGCGTGACCACCTAGCTGTGCGGTTGCTAACACCTATCTCTCCTAATCCTCCTAATCCCACGCCTTCATCCAGGTGAAGAAGCGCTATGTGCACTCTAAGCGAGATAAAGGGGCAGTCTTGTGCCAGTGGGTGTTCCCCATCATCTTCATGGTGTTGGCCATGGTACTTGCCAAGACCATCAAGGAAGACTTTGACCGACCCCCCCTCACCTTCAACATCAATGACCTCGATACCAGCAGCGTGCCTATCCAGAACCTGAACGCGTACGTATATGGGATGTGTGTGGATGTGAGGTGTTGATGTGGTGTGTGTCTGGCTGTTTGTAGGTATATGTGTGGCCTTCTGTTTGGCTGTGTATAGTGTTTGAGAGCAGTAGGTAATACCTGCGATACCCTGCTCTTGCTCTCTCTCGAGCTGTATCCGGTTCGCTTACGAAGACGTCTCCATAGTTCCCAGCTGTGACCGTTTAACACTCCCAGTTCTAAAAATAGATCTACCTACTTCACCACCCTCGACCAATAGGGGCAACGCTCTCGCGGACTCTGTGGTCACCCAGCTCACGCAGGAGTTCAGTCCCACACTCGTGACCACGGTGGACCCGACTACCAACTTCACACTCAACTGGATCAACACAGCCTATACAGACTTGGAGGCTACCATCTATCCCGGTTACATAATACAGACAACCAACCCCACGGGCGGAGACGACGGCAGCCAGCTACTGTTTGTGACTGAGTACTTCCAGAATCTGGGTATGGGATATTGAAGTGGATATGAGAGAGAGTGTGTGTAAGGGTGTAACTACCTCCGCGTGCCTTCTACGTTGTTGTAGTTATTTATTGGCCTGTCCTTGTATGAGTGTGTGCAAGTGTGCGTCTGTCCTATTTTGCCTTCTACACAATTCCATACATTTATACGTTTTGTTCTCTGCCCTTTCACCAACCTTACACTTCTCTCTATCTTACACCGTTGCCTACCTTACACTTCTCTCTATCTTACACCTTTATATACCTGGCACTTTTACTAACCTTACACTTTTACCTACCTTTTCCATACATTTATATGCTCCGTGTTGTGTGCCTAATACGAAACAGCCCTCCATGGATCGGCTATCTACCTCAACGTCCTCAACAACGCGATTGCTCGGGTGTATGTACCAGGCATGAGCATTACCACCACCAACCACCCTTTACCACTCACAGCCGCTGCTAGGAATGAGCGAATCGAGGAAGGGTATGTATCTATGCGTCTGCGCATCTATGTATCTTATGTGTATATGTGCTTTACGTGATTGTGTGTCTATGTGTATATATGTGTGTGCTTGAGAATGAGCTGGTGTTTGAATAGGCATACGTACAGATAACCCCGAGTGTTTACCCATTGATCATATAGAGATACTTCTGTGGATGCCCGCACATCACTTCGTCACCCTGTGCCTGAGCTAAACAGCCCATCTCTGACCTCTTCACCTCTCACCTCTCACCTCTCATCTCTCACCTCACCTCCCCCTCTGCCCCTCTGCCCTTCCCAGAGGCCAAGAGTTGGCTGTGGCCATCTTCACCATCTTCGCCATGTCCTTCTTAGCGGCCAGTTTCGTGACTTTCGTAGTGGATGAGCGTCGCACCAAGGCTAAGCACATCCAGTTTGTGTCGGGTGTGGACACAGTGAGCTTCTGGCTGGCTACGTACACGTGGGACCTAATTAACTACTTGATCCCGGTGACCGTTATTCTAATTATCATCATCGGCTTTCAGGTGTGTGTGGGCAGGTGTGTATTGTGCTCTGTTGTGTATTTAGGTATAGTTTCTGCTTAAGAGATAACCAATTGGAATGGCTCTATAGAGGAGGAACCAATCGAAATGGCTCTATAGAGAAGGAACCAAATGGAGTAGCTCTATAGAGGAGGAACCAATTGGAGTAGCTCTATAGAGGTGGAACCAATTGGAATGGCTCTGTAGAGGAGAACCCAATTGGAATACCTTTATAGAGGAGGAACCAATTGTAAAATACCCATTTCCCCACACACTCCCATCCTACTCTATCCCTACCCCCCCATGCGACACCTCATTCCCATAGCTTGCCTTCACACCACACAGGTGGAGTACTACACAGGGTCTAATTACGGGGCTGTTGTGTGCTTGTTCCTGCTCTTCGGGTGGTCTGTGATTCCCCTCATGTACATCTGCTCCTTCGGCTTTAAGGTGCCATCCACTGCCCTGGCCTCCATGATTCTGTTCAACATGTTGCTAGGTAACGTGCGTTTCAACGTGTTGCTAGGCAACCTGCGTGCGTGTGACGAGTGTCTGTTGTCTGTACCTATTACTATTACGCTGTTGTGTGCTTGTTCCTGCTGCTCGGGTGGTCTGTGATTCCACTCATATACATCTGCATGTTCGACGTTAAGGTGCCATCCACTGCCCTGTCCTCCATGATCTTGTTCGACATGTTTCTAGGTAACGTGCCTTGACATGTTGCTAGGTAACGTGCCTTAACATGTTGCTAGGTAACGTGCCTTAACATGTTGCTAGGTAGCCTGTGTGCGTGCGTGCTACGAGTGTTTGTTGTCCCATGCGAATAACTTTTACATTCTGTTGAGGTTAGTCGTTGCATGGCTGATGATACTGCTATTGGGTGCGCAAACACATATTTAGGACACGGGATGTGAGTGGAGTGGTGCGTTGTGTTGTATTGTTGTGTGTACCTCATATGCACCTACATGAACACTTGCCCTATTACTAGCGTCTTCCGTTCTTGTACTGGTGAGTGTGTGCCACATATACACCTGCATAAACACTAGTCTTATTAACAACGTCTTTCCTTCTTGTCCTGGTGTCTGTGTGTAGGTCTGGCTACATCACTGACGACGTTTATAATGGACCAATACGAAGATCTCGAGGGCGTCTCAGAGATTCTGGGCTGGGTGTTTATGTGCGTACCCCACTATTGCTTGGGTCGTGGACTGATGGATATCTCATACAACCATTTGGCTAGCCAAGTAGCCGGCTATGTAAGCCAGGTAGGTTATCCGAGTGTTTCCCAACCTGCGTGTGTGTGTATTATATATATATATATATATATATATATACGTGTGTGTGTGTGTGTGTAGTAGGCATGTACATGTATGTTTTATATCCGTGTATATATGTATGTACATGTATGTGTTATAAATGTATATGTATATATATATATATGCATATACGTGTATGTTATTCGAGTGTTTAGCCACATACGCGTTCATGTGCCGCTGTATATGTATATATATGCATGTACATGTATTTTTTATATATGTATATATATATGAATGGAAATGTATGTTATTTATGTATATGTGTGTATATATGCATATGCATGTATGTCTAGTATGTCTTATCCCCTTACCTTGCCACACACATGCTAACCGTGTGTCCATCTGACACTCTTGTCTCTCCACACACGCAGAATGACCTATTCTCCGGAGGCTTCAACTACTCACCTCAGAGTGCGCTCAGCTGGAATGTCTCGGGAAAGAACTGTCTGTTCATGTTCCTCGAGGGATTTGTCTTCTTTGGAATTGTGCTGCTTATTGAGTACCGGTTCTTCATCCGTAAAAAGCCGACCAAGGTACGTGCAATTGTCTGTGTATATCGTTGAATCCAACAGTGTCTAGTGTGAGCGTGCAAGTGGCATATCGAGCCCTAGGTGTACATGACGAATATATATATATATATATATATGTATAATAGTTATATATATATATATATTATATATATATATATATATACTATATTATATATATATATATATATATATATATATATATATAGAGTTGACTGAAGGTTGGTAGTGGGGTGTGCTCAGATGTGCATGCCATCGTCTGGTTCTCAGTCATGTATGTCCATGCAATCATGTATATACCTGTGTGTGTCAAATAACATACGCATCACATTCAAACTATTCAGGCCTCCAGTAGAGACCATTTCCATCTAAATTAACATACTACCACACTCACCTCTCTCATACACACACCAGGGTATCAATGGCGCGGGTAAGACGACCACCTTCAAAATGCTGACGGGTGATCTCAGCGTGACGTCGGGAAACGCGTACTTAGAGAATTACTCCGTCGTCTCCGCGCTGAAAAAAGCGCGCAAGAACATCGGCTACTGCCCACAATTTGACGCACTCATTGGGCTGATGACGGGACGTGAGACACTGCAGATGTACGCCAGATTGCGCGGCATCCAGGATAAGGAGGTCGACGATTCGGTTGAGGTGTGTTATACTTAGATTTCGTGTGCGTATGCATGCGTGTACGCGCGCGTTGGCGTGTGTGTGTGTGTGTGTGTGTGTGTGTGTGTGTTTGCTGTCGCAAAGGTTGATGCACTCTTTGGTCATATGTGCGCTGCTGTGTCCTGTGTTTGATACTAGTTTGTTTCTGGGGGAAGCTCGTAATATAGTGCAGATAAATAGTTACATGGTGCATGTTCCGTACGAGAGCCTACGATTGCTGGCCATATCTTTGGACCATAAACACCAGTGCGTGTAGCGTCGGCGACCGACACATACACACTTAACTCACTATTTAGTGGGTGAGATAATAATATCGGTCACTTGGCTGTGTTCTTTAAGTTATATATATATATATATATAGTATATGCGAACTCCGTTGTTTTGTGTATATATGCTTATAAACCGTATTTCAATCTAATATGCTTGTAAACGTATCCTATTCTCATATATATTCACACGAATCTTATTCTTATTCTATTTCCAGGCCATCATTCAGATGCTGCAATTAGAGAAGTGGGCTGACCGGCAGGCGAAAACGTACTCTGGTGGTAATAAACGTAAACTGAGTACCGGTATCGCCCTGGTTGGCACGCCACCGATCGTTTTCTTGGATGAACCGGTAAGTTCAAGTACATGCTTCTTCTTAGGGTTTTCCTTTTTAGGGTTTTCATTCAATTGAATACTACATAGCCTCCCAAAATATTGACAAAGTAGCTATGAATATTACGTCGGTAGCCTAGCCCATGTGTATTGGTAGACTTGCACGAGCGGTCCATATCGGTTTGTATAACGGGTTGCTATTCTAAGGGTAGTATCATCCTCCAAGGGTTTAAGGTTTTAGAACCCAAGCTTAACCCCATGCACTGGCGCGGCTCTTCGTGTCCTATTCTTATACCTCTGTACACGCATCGGCATACCCAACCAGACCACCGGGATGGACCCCGCGGCTAAACGGTTCCTATGGAATACACTCAACGACGTGCGTGCGCAGGGGCTTGCCTTGGTACTAACTTCGCACAGTATGGAGGAAGTATCGGCTATCTGCACACGCCTGGCCATCATGGTTAATGGAGAGTTCCGGTGTCTGGGCAATCAGCAGTACCTCAAGAATAAGTATGTGTGTGTGGTTGGTTGTATATGTTCGGAGGTAAGTATTTATATGTATGTGCTTGTGTATTATGTTATTGTATAGTATATGTGTGTGCTCGAGTAGGAGTGTGTGTGCCTGTGTATGATATTATGGATGTTTATGTGAGTTGATGTAAAAATTATATGCGTGTTTCTGTGTATGCACTTGTTCCTGTTGATGTGCTGGAAAGACTGTCAACGTATTTTTTGAGTGACTGATTTATTGAGTGAATTGTATATCCCTACACAAACATTTTGCCACGTCCTTGTGTACATATACAGGGTTTAGGGTTTTAGTCTAATCTATCGTGTGCCCGTTACTACGTAGATACGGAATTGACCCAAGCACTAGGAGCGTTGCAGATAGACAGTCCGCCATGGCGCCAAACACTCCCACGCGTTATTCTCGCATATGGTTATTCACTTTGTGCTTGTTCCGTCACAGATACGGAGATGGCTACGCGCTGGTGGTCAAGGTTAACAGCGACGCCGATGTAAAGCCTATCCGAGAGTTCATTACCACTAACTTCCCGACAAGCGTGTTGAAAGAAGAGTATGCCAGGATGGTCTCATACCAGATCGATGTGAAAGTAGGTGCGCTGTCTATTCGTCCGTTAGGCGTTCACCCATTGAAATATTGTTGGTCACTTAGAGCTCTGATGTTGCGATTCTTTGATTCATTTCACCGTCATCAATCTATCCCATCGCTGCTATTCCAATTGTCTGATATTGCGATTCTTTTATTCACTCCACCGTCATCTAATCCATCCCATCGCTGCTATTCCAATTGTCTGATATTGCGATTCTTTTATTCACTCCACCGTCATCTAATCCATCCCATCGCTGCTATTACAATTGTCGGATATCCGACATTTGTAGTCGGACAATATGTCGTTGTCCGAAGTATTCAAGAAGATGTCGGACGCAAAAGAGACCCTCAACGTAGATGACTTCCATGTCAGTCAAACATCACTGGAACAGGTCTTTATACGCTTTGCTAAGACTGATGCGGCGTTGAAATCGAGCACCGTGTCTCTCGAGAAATTGTGCGAAAAAGACGTTATCGGTATGGGACTGTCGGGGACGGATAGGTGTCGTTGTGTGTAGTTGCACAGTACTATTGCGGATGCACATGTGCTTGCATATTATCCGTGGGTGGTAGCGTTGGTTAGACATCTCTTGAACATATCTTCATGTGTGTCAGCAGTTATGCTGTGTCATCATGCGTGTTGTAGTGCGGTATGAGCGGGGAGTGTATGTGTTTGTTCTGAATCTTTTTTTCAAGGAGATGGTCACTCTAGCAAGATATAACCTTTCGTTTCATTAAATTGCAGTGCGTGTGATTTGCTTAAGCTCAGTATAGTAGCACACAGACATTTATACCGTCTACACCGAACACCTCCTGTGTCCACTTCTGTGCACAATGGGAATGCATGTGTATTGCAACGTGTATGATTCTCACATCATCGTACGCATGGCTGTAAACGCCTCAATTCTTTTAATCCTTCATCGTGTTAACATTTAACACATGAAATTAAATCATACGTAGCCCCATTGTCTAACAGACAGTTCAACTAGACTCACTTCTGACTAAAGATATCTTCTATTATACCTACGGCTCTTGTAGATGATGACGAGGCGCGCGTTGCAACAACCACAGCCGCGGGCGAACCATTTGTCGAGCACAGCAATGCCGACGACAAGGACGGCCTAGAGAAAGGATCTAGTTCAATTCAGAAGAGGAGTGATGGTAACTATGGCAACCACAGAGACCTGGATGGCGAATCAGATGGTGTGGTCAACGCAGACAGTGACGACGAGGGTGTGTCAGGGCATGTAGTGTAGTTAGAAGTATCGGAGAGCACACAAAATGATCTGGATCCGATCCAGCCGCAAGACACTTGTAGTGGGTATACCGGATACGCAAGCGATGCTGAGCCGATTGGACACTTTGTTGGAGCTCTACATATCTCGCACGGTGCACTTGAGAGTGGTACTGTAAGCGGAGTGACACGCTATCTAGTATGCGGATGGGTCTGTTCGAATGATCAAGGAAACACCTCTCTGGCGTTTGGTGTGGTTTTGGAGACGCGAAACACAAAACACTTAAATGTGACGAGGAGCAGTCTCTAGAAACCGTCAACAAAAACACATGTTGATTTTTTAATGGGTCAGTCAGACGCATGTGGGTGTGGAGATCAGATCGCGATGCCTCGTGAGAGCGCTAGATGAAGTGCCCAACACTACAGTGCTTTGCCTTTGCAAGCAGCGGCTGCGACTGTGTAGTCGGTTGAGTTTAGTCAGCGCTGTCAAATACAATAGAAAAGAAAGTTGATAAATCTTGAAACCACCACAAATAGAGCCACCGACACACGCCACCATTATTAGTACAACCTACACTTCCAACCTAATCATACTCGCGTATTTTTGTTTTTCCCACTACTATACTACATAAAAATAAAAACAAAATATATGTAATCACGTCTCAAGACTCAACCCCACACCCGCCACCACTATTAGTGCAACCTACTCATACTTGTGAATTTTTTTTCTTCACTACACTACATATAAATAAATCACGTCTCAACCCCACACACGCCACCACTTCACGTCTCAACCGTGGTGTATTAATACTAAGAACACGTATTCTCCTGTTTGATCGATTAACTACATACGCACGATTCTATAAATAGGATGATACAAACCAATATATTTTAATCCTACATATAGATATTTGCACACACACACACACACACACACATATATATATATATAGATATAGATATAGATATATATATATACATATATATATATATATATATTAAATATATATATATATACGTGTATAAATAAATATATATACATATATATATAGATAGATATATATATATAGTATATATACAAATATATACAAATATAT